GTGGGTTTCATGCTCCGGGTTGGCCGGACATGGGTGTCAAGCGGGGACCCCCCAGCCGAGCCCCTGGGGACCGGCGTGGTGGCATCAGCCCCGTCCTGCTGCTGGCACCCGTTGTCTGCTTCATCAGCCATGGGCTGCAGCGCTGAGCACGGGCAGGGGTGAGCCCTGCCGGCTGAGCCCGCCGGGATTCCATAGTGAATGACTTTCCTGGGAGATTAGATGTGGATTGGGGAGGTGGAAGAGATGCTCCTTGGTTCCCCCTCTACGGCGTGATGGGACCCTGCTGGAGTTGGACATCCATCCCCATGCCCGTGGGGCCGCCTGGGTCCTGCAAACCCCCATCTGGAAGAGCATGCACATGAGAAATCCAGCCCTTCATGAACGTGTGGATATTTGAACCTGGAGAGATGCTGGATCAGCCCTGGCAGTGCTTGGTTCTAGTTTCAAACTGCATGGTTTTACCAACAACTCCTCCTTTCCCCTCAAAAGAGTGCTGGGACTCAGTGCAGGGGAGTGATGTGGGGCTTGAAAATGGACCCCTCTGCCTTATAATAAAGTTTGGCCTTGAGGCATCCTCTCCTTTTTTAACCAAATCCATCGCGTTTAGCGCCAGGAGCAGCCTGAGGAAGAGCTGCATCTTTGAGGGATGATGCAGGGAGCGATGAGCATGATGCTTAGAAACAACCCCCCCATCTCATCCCATGTCTGTGGCTTTGATATGATCAAAGGACCGAATCTTTAGCACCCTCTGCCCAAAACACACCCAGCTGTGTGGCTGACCCTCCCTCAGGTGCTTCGTGTTTGCCAGAGAGGATGCAAATCTGCCCTGGGAAGAGCTCAAAAGGAGCTGTGAGGGTTGGCTTTTACCTCCAGCATTTGCATTTTCTTCTCTAGTCCCTGTCTTGGCTGGTTAAACCTTCCCTAAAACATGGTTTAGCTGCAGCAGCTCAACTATTGCTGTAAGCAACGAAAATAAAGCAGTGCCAAGCACAATATTGGGGATCCCCCCAAAAACCTGCGGGCAGCCACAACCACCCTCCTCCAGCAGGTAAGACATTCACCTATTGAGTCTGGATGTCTGTTTTTGGGATGTTTCTCCTTGGAATTAGAGTTTTTTTGGGGTTATGAATATCCTTATCATGGCATGGTTTGGGTTGGAGAGGGCCTTAAAGCTCATCCAGTTCCAACCCTCTTCTTCACTTCCCCAGGAGAGTGGTTGAGTCAGATCTTGCCTCTGTCAAGGGGTGGAAGGAGCCCTGGCTGATGTACATCTGCTTTCTGGGCTCTTTTACAATACTTCCTTAAATGTTATGGAAGTTGTTTGGCTCCTGAGGGATTTAACAGCATTTTTGGTGCAGGTGAGAACAGGATTCACCCGAGGCTGATGCTTTTATGGCTGTCCAAGTAGCTGTGTTCTCTCTGCTGGCTTAGGTTGGACAAATCCAGCTCTTCCTTCATATAATGGGTTGTTTTAATGTCCTTGTTTAAAATGAGTGATGAACCTGGCAGAAACTTCAATCTGCCTTTTCCCAGCATATATTTTGCCTCCAGACCTGCCCAGGTTATGCTTCAGTGTCCAGACCCCACCACCAGCATCCTCCGCTCACAGCCCTGATGCGCAACCTGAGCTCAGAACCACCACAGGGATGATCCCACGCTTCCTACATTACAATCTGACTTTTCTTGCTTATTCCCTCCCACTGGTGTGCAGCACATGGGGAAATGCTCTGATCTCCTCCCCAGTTTAATTGCCAGCCCTTGCAATGAGCTGGGCTGCAGGAAAAGCCCTTAAAAGCTTTCAACATCCTCATTAATCACCTTGTGCTGGAGAGTTTTAGGGTTGTGTGTTTGGATGGGGAGTGGGGCTGCTCTTGAGCAACCCCAGATGCTGAGATGCTTCTCTAGGTGAGTGTTTGCAGGCAAATCAAGCTGGTTTCATGCATTTTGCTCTGAAACAGCAACCAAGTGAGCACTGGCCTCCAGCATGGCCGGCTGTAAAGCTCAACCTGTCTGGAGGGTTCTTTGAGAGGTCCAGCCTTGCAAAACCCATCCTGGGATGGTTGGTCTGGGCTCCGACGGGAGATGGTGCTGTTCGCTCAGCGATGCATCTCCTCTAATCCCCGACACTGGCTCAGGTGCAGGGATGAAATCACCCCCGGATGAGGTTTAGGCACTTGCTTTTCATTTCAAGCCTCCAAATAACACTATTTCTCCTCCAGCTCTCTGCAAACTTTCCAGCTGGGCACCAAAAATCCCCTTTTTGCAGGTTTTTTCCAGTGAGAAAAAGATATTTGCTTGCTGTGTCTGCATGGGGGATGCTTATTTGTGGGGATGAGGGATGCAAAGTGCCCTGGGATGGGCGATTTGGAGGAGAGTATAAAAACCAACACCCAAAATGTTATTGCATTTGTACTTTGGGGTGTATTTATTTGCAGCCTGGTAAATCAGAAGCACTTCCCACTGTCTCTTGCAGCTTGAGGGCAGGGCAGGGTTTGCAGTATGTAGCTAATTAATACAGAGCAATTAATGTATCTAGCTCAACAGATCACTCTTAGAGGACCAGAGGGCTTCAGGGCTATTGGATCCAACCATTCTTAAAGGACATGAGGGCTTGGACTATGTCCCCATGCCCTGCTTGAGTGCTTCCAGGGCCAGGAAGGGGTTGGGGGTTGGAAATGGATGAGCTTTAAAATCCCTTTCAACCCAAACTAGTCTGGGATTCTGTGATTTACAGAGAGCTCTAGATCTCTGTTATGGACCTTTTAGTATTTTCTCTTCGGGAGCAAGCCACTTGCACACAGGAATAACAATCTATTTATTGCTGAATATCTTTTATCCTTTATTTGTTGGCCAAAAGTATCTAAGAGTCACATTTGGGGATTACCTGAGGCACTGCTTAAAGACCAACTTCTTCAGCATCCCTGTGGGCAATAAATAGCATCCTGCATAGGCTCAAACCAAACAGGTCCAAGACTTAGTTTTGAGCTTAAAATTAAAGCACCATCCAGCAGAAGGGTCCAGACTCTACCATCTTTTTAATTCTGATTTTTAACCTATAGTCTAATGCATCTACATAGTCATCTGATGGTGATGCTGGTTTAGGTACCAAGGAGATGGAATTTCTGGCAGTGTTAAGTAGGGCTTGAAAGCTTCATGTGAAGTTGGTTGGGCTTAATGCCATGAAACAGCAAATGTAAAAACTCTTTTATTAGACAGAAAATAGATGGAGCAAATACAAGGAATAAATGGGGGTTGACTTTCTATGGGGAGAAGAAACTCCTGACCCCAACCAGTGCATTGGCTTTAGTAGAAACTACTTGGTGGATGGTACCGGTAGCATTAGTAGGAGCAGGGGAGGAGAAAGTTAACTGAAATCATGGGGTTTAGGCCAAATTTGGTGCTGAAAGAGAACAAAGGCGCCCACAGGCAGGGTGAAAAATACTGCTTGTGTCTGTGGGGACGGCTGGGAGCTGTTTGCATGAAGGAGGCTGACGTGTCTTGGCTTTATCCGTTTTAATTTGTACCAGACGTGGAACACTTAGAAAAGTATCAGAACAGCACATTTCATACATGCACCGTGGTGGGTTTACAAAATATCCGCGTATCACAAAGTCCGGGTTTACCTCAAAGCCCTGCTTTTCAGGTGAATATCCTTGAAAGATTCCTTTTCTCTCTCTTTATATATATATATATTCATTTAGCTTACACTGAGGAGAAAAACCAGTTAGGACGGTGTCATTCAGTGCCTTGCAAAAAAATACACAAGAGATATTAAATAGAACTTGGGGTGATGGGCTTGACAAGCGCAACTTTACAAATGCTGCAGGTTCTACACAACCCAGAATTGACCTAAACACCAAAAGCAGGAATTTTACCCACAAATTACTTGCAAAATGTGGGTTTTTTTTAAGTATCTCCCATCCCAGGCTTGCTTTTCCCAATGCTGTTTGCTGTAATCATATGATTTAGCTGATTTATGTCTCTTGCTATGTGCTTAACCCCCTTTAAACATCCTTTTTGCTGTACTATAACATCCTTTAGGTCAAGGTGCTGAAGTGTGACTTGTCACCTATAGCACATCCACAATAGCTTTTTCTTGGGCTGTACCACAGCAAGCGTTCCCACTTTGGGGCTTTTGGGGGGCATTCAGCAGCACTTTTTGCCTTTAGACAGGCTAAGAAAGACAGTGAGGCTCAACCAAAAGCAAAGCGGCGCTGAGGGAGTCAACCAAAGCCTGGCCAAGGGTTTCTGCCTTGCTGTGGAGGAAAACAACCAAGAAATCACTTTATTTCTGGGTGTTGCTGCAGGGGTATTTGCAGCATGCAAGGTGCGGAGCGAGGAGGTCTGTATGTACATGAGGAATGCTGGGGTTTAGGATTAAAGGGTGAAAATTGCAACCTGGCAGCTTGTTGCTTGCGAACCCCATAGCTGACCATCCTAAAACCCCTGTGGGGTATGTATGGGTGCCTCAGGGAAAGGGGTCTTGGTGGCAGCAGGATTAAGGGGATTAGATAGAACCCTGCTTGTTAACAAAGAGGATCTTCGGAAACACTCTTGCAGAGATGCCAAGGACCGGGTGAGCTCCTCTCTGCCCAGTCCCTCTCAGGGTGGCCCTGAGGAGGAGGAGGAGGTGGTGGTGAAGGCCTTTTCTTCGGGCATCCAGCTCCATCACTGTCCTGCCACGCCGGGAACGCGTTTGGGGTGGAGAAAGAAATCTTCATCCAGTTGCCTAAACTGGAGGTGATGGGGAGCGTTGGTGCCCTTGTGCCCCAAGGGCTCTTCACCAAAGATGACCTCAAGCAAGAATAGGGGAGTTTGGGGGTCCCCAGGGGGACACAGGTGACATCTCAAAGCTGCGGGGTGCATCAGTGCATGACGAAGAGGGTGAGGAGGAGGAGGGCGGCGAGGGAGGCATCAGCAAGATGCAGCCGGATGCCGGAGGCCAGGCGGTACTCGCGGTACTGCTGGATGCACATCTCCCGGATGACTTTGGTCACCACCTTGGTCTCCAGCTCCGTCTCCGTTTGGTTGACGGCTGAGCCAGCCTCGGAGGCGTTCTTCTTGACAGCAGGTCCGATGTTGTATTCGGTCACCGTGATGTTGAAGCAGTCGGCGACGAAGACGTCCTGCGACACGGGGCTGCTGTAATCCCGGTAGTAAACCTGGTTGGGGTAACGCGCTGAGTTCTCGTTCCACCACCGGTACTCATCGGGGCTATCAAAGCGATAGTGCATCCCTGACATGACCCGTCCCATGGCGTAG